GGAGTGCAACATTTTCCCAAGGCGCACACGGCAGAAAATATTGCACAAGTGAAAGGCTCACTCATGAGGGAATGGGCTATTACTGAAAAAGTTACATGCCTTGTAACAGATGGGGCTGCCAATATGGGGGCTTGTGCAAGGGAGCTACGGCTCAAACATGCCATATGTGTAGCTCACACCCTTAACTTAGTGGTGAAGAAGGCCCTTTACCAGACCCCTGAGCTCTCTGACATCCGAGCCAAGTCCAGGAAGATAGTGGGATATTTCAGGAGCAGTACCACTGCAAAGGTAAGTTCTGTGGCTTAATTACAGTTTCTTTAATGCTACTTTTGTTTATAGTTCTGCTGCCTTGACAATGTAATTAATGCTTTTTCAATTGTACAGTGGGGCAAAAAAGTATTTTTTAAGGAGAGGCCCAGGAACAATTGGGGAAGCCTCAACTCAAACCTATCCAGGAAGTGGAAACCCGCTGGAACAGCACTTACAATATGCTGCAAAGACTGTTTGAGCAAAGAGAGCCAGTGGGTGCTGCTTTGGCAAGTCTCACAACAGACATCTCACCTATTTCATCAGAGGAATATGGCATAATTTCCGCGTGTCTGATTGTCCTAGGACCATTTAATAACGCAACCACCGAGCTCTCTCAGGAAAAAAGGGTGTCTGGCTCAAAGGTCATACCTTTGCTTGCTATGGTGGATCATTGCCTCACAGAAGAAATGGAAAAACCACCATCCATTGGGTCTTCTCTGGCTGAGAAGCTGAGGATGCTCTTGAGAGAGAAGCTGGATAGGATCCAAACCATGAGCATTATGTGCCTTGCGACACTACTGGACCCAAGGTTAAAAAAAATCGGGTTTCTCAGCCCTGCAAAAGCGGGTGAAGCAGAAAAAAGACTGAAAGCAGAATGTGCTTCCATAATGAGGGCCACCACCACCTCCTCTTCCTCCTCACCACCACCACAGCCATCAACGTCACAAACTGTTGAGGCTGTTTCCCAAGGTACTACTGTTATTCCATTTGAGTTGCATTTATATGAACTGTTAAACTCACAAACAACTCTTCTTATTTCTTAGGTAACAACCTGTGGCGTCGCCTGGATGACAGCGTCAGGCAAACACAAACACAGAATGTGATAGCAGACGCAGATATTGAGGTCCAACGCTACATGATGGAGCCAAATATTGGAAGGCTGGAGGACCCCCTTCAATACTGGGAGAGACAGAAATATGTCTATCCCCATTTATATAAGTTAGCAGTGGCATTCTTGTGTACGCCTGCCTCATCTGTGCCCTGTGAGCGGGTGTTTTCCAAAGCAGGAGAAATATTGTCAAAAAAAAGAAATCGCCTAAGACC